TGCTAGGCACAGAGCAGACGACGCCACAGCGCTTGCCAATTTTCTTTGAACACGGTTCAGCAAACCACCGCGTAAGAGGTGTCCACGGTTGATTCCCTGACTCCGCTGGCTAAGGATGATCATCGCCGCTAATTGTAATATCACAATAGACTACTTTTTTTCTTTTTTATGGGACAAACTTGCAGTTATACTCCGTTTCACTTTATGTCTAGGCGCAGCGGACGCTACGAGACGATAGGGCCAACCAAAAGCGACAAAAGCTCACTTTTTGCGCCTTATTGTATCCCCCGGTGATGCACTCCGTGACATTGCACCTTTGCCGCTATTTAATTGGCTATGTCGTTTTGTAGCGTACGCTGCATTCGGACTTAAGGTGAAACGGAGTACAAGTCTATTTCTGTATCACACCTGCTGCGCTCATGCTGGTTTGCGAGCGCATATTGTAAAAGATGCATTGCGAAATCCTGTTCCTAAAAAAGCAAAAAAAACAAAAAACAAAAAAAAACGTTGACAGGGTAATGCCCCAATGACTCTGCAATCTCCCCCAATCAAAAGCGCCGGTTTAAAATGAGTTTGAGAACAGTTCGCTAGGGCCAGGGTACCAGAGGAGCAGCACTGTGGCATCGCCTGCTCTGCGCCTAGCAGACGACAAAGCGAGGGTGTGCTTGCAAACGGGAAAAGTGAGTCCGCCAAACGGCGCATGCGCGGAGTTTCGGACGGCGCCTGCTATGAGGCGCTGGGGGTGCGGGACGGCAGCCGCTGCGGTGTTATAGCTAACAGTGTCCACGATAGTACATAAATGATATTGTATCAATTATTGACGCAGGTGTCCACATACGTCTTTTTGCCGACGATTACATTATTTTTAAAGAAATAATTCCGAGCTCGGATCAGTTACTGCTAGATCATAGTTTGCATTCCGCTGTATCATGGTGCGATACGTGGAAAATGAAGCTCAGCTCTGCTCAATCAACACTTTTACGTATTACAAAGAAGAAGAAACCCTTTGAATACATTTATAATATCGCGGACACCCCGGTTACTGTGGAGCGAGAATGTAAATATCTTGGTTTAATTATATCGGACACACTTTCTTGGTCTCCTTATATAAAACATATCTGTACCTCGGCATCCAGGAAGTTGGGTTTCATTAAAAGAAAGTTGAACGACGCTCCAATTCAGGTTAAGTTACATGCGCATTATTCATTAGTCAGATCCAAGTTGGAGTATGCAAATATCGTTTGGGATCCATTCACTCAGAAAGACATCCGGAAGTTGGAGATGATGCAACGTCGAGCGGTTCGGTTTATTTACGAAAAGCATAGAAGGCTGGATTCACCATCTCAACTTATGCAGGCTAACGAAATACAGACTCTTCAGGCTAGAAGGAAATCTAGCCCGGTTGAAATTCTTGTTTCATCTTCAGCAAGGACAGACTCGCATAGACCCATTGCAATATATTTCCCCTTTAGCGTCAAGAGCTACGCGGCACAGACATCAGTTTTCACTAACACCCATTTTTGCGCGTACTAATATGTTTAAGTTTAGCTTTTTCCCTCGCACTATTAGCGACTGGAACGGTTTACCTCTCGAACTATTTATCGACACCAACTTTGTAGAAGGTCTCGAGCGTCTTGATAACTAGCATGTTTTGCTTTGTACATTGCTGCACCTTAATCTTTTTCGCATGGACATTAGCATGGTATAAACCTTCATACTACATCTATATAGGTCCTTTTGTATTAGTGCATGATGGAATTACATACTGCTTGATGTTTGCTTCCCCCCCCCTCCCCTTTTTTTAAAATATATCCTGTATATTTGCTTTCGTTGTATGTGTGAATGTATATGGTGTATCCCACACCTACTTGGGCCTTCAATGGCTTGTAGTATCCTCTAAATAAAAAAAAAAAATAGAAGTCCTTTGCCCCTTTTGCCGAAAGGTCGAACGTAGCAAACATTTTCCTTGCTTGCCGGCCCATTGTGTACAATAGAGTGCGGACGTGTGCCTCACCGCTTGTTTCGTTGATGCCCGTGGCGAAGCGGTAATCGCCGAAATGTTCTATCCACGCCGGCCACTCTGTTGTGTTGTCGAAGTCCAGCTGTGGTGGCTGTTTAAGTCCAAACGTTCCCGTAGGTGCCGATGGTGTTTCGCTCGCCATAGTCTTTTACGCTTGCTTTCGCAAACCTAGACTGATGATACGCCCACTTCCGATACCATGACGCGCCGCCGTACTATCAGCGTTCGACTGCGAGTAGCGAAGAATGAACCATTCGCTCGCAACGCCTGGGAAAAGGAAGCCCCGTGTTTTATTTCGTCATCCTTTTTATAGGCGATCCTGTAGACGTCACCTATAACCAGAGCACACCACGTGTAGCCTTCTCATTATCACACTGATACCACACTGATACCACACTGATACCACACTGATACCACACTGATACCACACTGATACCACACTGATACCACACTGATACCACAGTGATACCACAGTGATACCACAGTGATACCACAGTGATACCACAGTGATACCACAGTGATACCACAGTTACCTAACCACGTCTACCGAATCCAACCAGAAAGAGGAAAGAGAAAACAACAGGTCGTGCGCCATAACCTTTTGAAGAAATTAGATGAAACGAAAAAGACAAGCATGCTGCTTGCGGTTCAATACATTAGAAATAAGTTATAACGGCATGACTGCTGCTCCTCTAGCACTACCAGACTACCCAGACATAAATGACGCACACGATGAGTATGAGATTGTCGACGCTGAGTAGGTGGACGATGAGCATGTCGACGATGAGCATGTGGAAACAATCGAAACTCTACCACTGGTCAATGCAATGGTGAATTCGCCACCTGTCGACGCAGCTGAGCGCCTGCTGCAAGTGGTGGACTTCAACAATGACATTCTTTTAAACAACCTAGAGGAAGCGGCTGGCAATGGTTGCCGGACCAATACTGCACCCGAAATCGACAGCGATAAGCAGACAAAACTCAACCTGCAGTCGCCGCCCTTGTTCCCCCAGGCCACGATACACAAACGGAACCGCTCGGTTTCTCTGTGGACCTTAGGCAAAACAGTATCGCGATATGAACTATGACTACGGGACTCTGAGGCGAACTGCGCGGTACTCTGAGTAAACATCTCGCGGGTGATAAATTAAGTTCCGGGATGGCGACTTTTTTTATAGGGAGGGTAGTGTAACGATGCGGTGTGAACAGAGTAGGATGAATTACGACGGTTGAAAGATGAAGTGTGCGTGCATGTGAGAGGAAAGGCGACCACTTAGACTGGACTTAAGCCTAACATGAATGTTCACCGATAAAAGACTGAGCCCTTACACTTTAGACATATAGTAAAATATATACTATGCTCAATTAAATGTCAATAGAAAGTCTGTAGTTTTTTTTTGACATTGACTAGAGACCTTCAACTGAACATTTTCAACACAGTAAACAGAACACCTGCAGTTTTTCTGGAAATAATGTAAACAGGAAGTCAGGAAAAAATCAACGAAGAGTTAATAAAATCAAGAACGCTTCTTTTAACTAAGGCTTCAAAAAATCGACAAAAATTTTTGACGCAAATACAACAAACTGTGCTGTGCATTTTCAAGGACATGAAAGTCAAACGAAAGTAATCAGATCATAATGTAGATACAGGACAAAAACACGAACGGAGCACAAGAAACAAGCAAATACGACAAACAGAACAGCGTTCGTCCTGTCTGCGTGTTTCTTCTGCTCCGTCCCTGTTTTTAATGAGACAGCATTATTAGACTACTCATCACAGATTTCAGCCTATCTATGTGGCATCTAATGTCAATTTTCACTAAACTTAGCGGAAAGTTGACTTCACGTGACCTATGCAGCAATTTAGGTTCCCCGCTAAATTTTGCGTAAAATTAATCAATTCAGTTCCTCCGGAAAATTGGGCGGCAAATTTACGTCACGTGATCTATGCACCGATTCAGATTCCCCGCTAAATTTAGCGGGAAACCGAACACCTGCCCGTGTGTGCAACCATAGATGACATCGCATTCATAGATAATCACTCCTGTGGTTTCTACACTTTTTCATTGAGAGTTATGTTTTCAAAAAGAGATATCTCATTGTGCCCTAAGATATTAAAAATGAATGGACCATTTATTTTCAATCGGAACGAATTGCATTACTCAAGCACAGACGAGGCATTGTACTGCAAACACCAGCCCCTAAACACAACCACCACCACAATTTTTTTTTTTTTTTTACGTTTCTACATTATGATCAACGAATACCAGCTAGCCCAACTCTCGTGGTTACTAAAGTAATGAGTGAACAAGCAACGAGTTTTCAAGAAAAAAAAAGTTAAAGAATCCTCTTTATATGCGTGTACAACTATCTTTTGACCTTGCTGCGTGAAATCGTTTGTGAGGAACAATTTGCATGCATTTAAATGCCACGCTGTCCGATTGCTATGTATACGTAGTCTGTACTCTTTAAAAAAGGTTAAATGATCGAATAACTGAAACCTTTGCTTCAGAAGAATCAACGAGCTTTGCGCGCGTTATTTACTTGCATGACGCAAGTAAAACAGGTACGCAAAGCTTACTCCGCGCACGTTATTGCATTCCAAGGCCAGCCGTGAAGTTTGACTCCGATGGGTTGACTAGACTGATAGTGACGTCAAAACGAAAGAAAGTAAAATCCTTTTATTGCGTACAGACATTCAATTTGACTGTTAAAAACGGCGTTTACTACATTATAAAACTATGATGCAGAGCCAAACACAATCAACTTTTATGTCAACGCTTTGATCTAAAGTCGACAAGTGCAGAAAACAAAACGAAAGGGGCTCCGTTTTACTGTGAGAGCAGCTCCACAAAAATAAACATAAAAGCAAACAAAATGAGCGTGTTAAAGAGCCTGGTAGAAAGAGGCTTTAAAAAGGCAGTTGAACGCAAACGTGGCCTGGCCACCACTTGTTTGAGCGAGGCAGCAGGAGCGTGGCTCAGGAGTCCCACTGCATGACAACGTGGCAGAGTAGCAGCCACCCAGTTGAAATGGCCGTTGTCAGCACCATGACCGGAAATCCAATCCTATGACGCCGGCGGAAATCGGGGTCGTGAGGGGCAATGTCACATTGTATATTGGACTGTTAGGCCCATTAGTGAACACATACTACCAACGTCACCATATTCTGGAGCAACAAAAAGGTTGAACTTCTCAGAGATGTAAGAGTAATATGCTAATAAAAGGACTGGCAGAACCCCGTGGTTCCACGGGCTCTACTACGCCATGTCACACGGCGGCCACTTGGGTTTATTGCGGTTGAATCCATACTGGTTTATTCCAGTACTCGCCTTCGACGCGCAGCTATCGTTGTCTGCTTAGCTGCAAAACGCGTTTTGGGCATGTGCAGTAACTTTTCGCTGTGGAATATCAGGCCCTACCGCGCGCAGTTTCGAGGGGCCTTCTTCAAGAAAAGCAGGCACGGGGTTCCCAGCTAACTGACGTTTAAGGAGGTCTCCTCCAGTAAATGCCCGTCCGTTCGCAGACAGGAGATGGCGCCCCACTGCTATGACGCTTTCTTGTTAGCCGACCACAGACACGTGACCGCAGGTTGCCGAAACGACTCTTGTCATGTGGCCTTGCGCTATTTTAGACGTCCGTGGGCATCACATCTTAAATGATTGGGAAATGTTTTGAGTAGACCCACCGCAGAAACTGCACAAAGCTGAACTTGTACCCGTGCTGCTCGGCCACTCCGGCACATACCACGTTGGCAGAAGCTCCGATCAGGGTTCCATTGCCTTCAAAAATAAAACAAAAGAACATTCGGTTCGAGAGACTTCTGGAAAGAGGAAAGGGGACTCACCGCCCAGGCAGGAACCGAAGGCCAGGGAGTACACCAACGGAATCAGCCGCAGGCCCAGGTCACTTTCGCCAAGTCCAGTCACCACCTTGATCTGCAATGTCAGAAGACGTGTGTGAGGTACCTGAAGTCCGTTTAACACGCTGCGATTATTGTCAAAGCTTAATCAAATTACGCTTAAAGAATACCTCTGCCGTTAACTGAATTCACACTCTCGAAGCATGACTTAGTGAATAGACTTCGAGGATCTTTTGGTAATTAGCACAGACACCGTGATGCCGGCACGTCCAGACCTCAGGCTAAAAGCGGCGATCGGCACACAAGCTTCTAGCGTGCGAAGGTGCCTTTAGACAGAGCCATTAGATGGGTTATAGGATACCGCAACTACAATTTTTTATAGAGCGAGCCACTATTTTGGGCCTATGTGGCCGCGGTGTTAGCTTTCGGTTCCTCCACTTTAGAGTTCAAGGCTACAAAGAAGGCCGCACGTGCATCGCGCCTCCTGGGTGTCACTCCTGTGACTCCGTGTCGCTATTTGCGTGCAGTACAGACGAAGGTAGCGCTAGGAAAGTAGAGAACGGGCAAGCACTAGAAAATCTGGGGAGAAGGAGATAAAGCTCCTCTCTTCTCTAACGTTGTTAATGCTCTCCCTTTCTCTCTTACCCATTGCCCTCCTCTGCCTTCCAACCTTCTTAGTCCTCGCCTCCTCTCTTCGCCTGGCGTTGCCTTCACCTGCACTGCATACAACTAGCGACATTGAGTGTAAATAGAAAGCTACCCTTCGCCCAGGCCGGAGAGCTCTTGAGTAAGTAATAGCACGCCACCCGATTTTGAGATTCATCACCTTTCAGATGCGACTCTAAAGATTCTTTGACACGACGCGTGGTAGGCATTTAAGAGTCTTACCATGACGGTGGTGAAGGGGATGTTGTCGACGAATGAGGAGACAACGGAGGACACCCATGTGACGATCAGGATGGACACGATCAGCCGGGACTCCTGGCACACGCCACGGATCCAGCTTTCCGTCACGTGGCCGACGAAAAGCAGCAGCTTCAACTCTGACAGAGCCTGCAGGACAGAGCGACTTGGTTACAAATCCTTCCCGCCCTATTTACATTTGCTCATCTTCCTCACTGCCTCGCTCGTTGCACTCCATTCCTGTTGGGATCCTTTCTGTATGAAATCGGTACGCGAAGAAAAAATAATCCTCGGTAAACAAAATAAGTTACATACCCTACGCGATATACCTTTAGCAGCCGCCAGCTACCGATAAAATGCCAGGCATTTTGAATACGCATTTTTATACAGGGTGTGTGGAGGTAAACAAAGGCAAACAACAAAACTTCCAAGGGGAGCAGGTTGCTCTAGGGTGGCTATTGTTCTCGTTTGTTTTTAAGGACCCGCACTGTGTAGCTCGTACTCTGAAATATCACCACCGAGGACTAGCCACGGTACCTCTTAAAATTTTCTTATGCGAGATTGACAGTCCTTGATCTTTTGAGTAAAAAGAAAGAGCACTTGTTCCTAAAAAAAATGACAATTCTGCCGAAGGTATCGTTGAGGCGTACTTCGTGAACGGCAAGGCTTCGGCGATGGGTCTTGTCCTTACCCAGGCGCCGAACGTGCGCACCTAGCTTTCCCGCAGGGGCCGCGGAGCCGGGTTTTGGTTCCAGCAGACAATCATGCGAAAGTTTTTATTGCGCTTCCATTATCGCGGCGCGAGTCTTTGCAATACACATTTTCTCGATCTTTTGACTTGCTTGCTTCGGTATCCGAAGTTTCTTTCCCAGAGCACCGTGCTACCTTGCATTGAAACGTGCCGTAATGGCCAAGTTGGCTGTCCTTGTATGAGGAGGGTCAGTCGAGGTGCCACTGACACCGCATCCTCGCGTTTGCGCATTTCGGCCTCTGTCGGCGGCACACTGAAGTAGACTAGTACCGTCTGCTAATGCCGCCGTCCTGCGATCACCCTGGCCCGGCGGCGTCAGTGGCATTCCTAGTCTCAATATACATCCCCAGAAATGTGTGCCATCGTATGCTTGCGCCATCTCTTACCAGGTTATTGCAGCGCTCCCAAGAAGCCCACGTATTTAATACCCAAATATGGCCCATAACACCGAAACGTTACGATTTGAACAATTTGCTATGCTACCACTTCATTTTATCGTGTACCGCAATTCTTGTGCCGAAATTTCAAGGTGACGACGTGGAAAGTGCAGGTTACTGGTTTCCTTAAAGTATTCATACTTGTGTATTTGCTATAGTACCAAAATGGGCTCGAGGTCTCTACATTTTATATTCCGCCTTTATTTGGGGACGGGGTTGCCCTCAAAAAGTTTCTTGGCGAAGCGAGTGTGTCCAAACTTTGAAATATGAACTAATGCACAGAAAAAGCCGAGCCATCCCGACCTTGAGACCGGTTTTCCCGAAAGCGATTTATTTTGAAGTGTTTATTATAGTACCAGGATTGGATCGAGGGGTATACATTTTACATCCTGCTTTTAGTTGGGTACAGGGTTGCCCTCTAAAAGTTCCCTGGCGAGGCGCGGAAGCCCAAATGTCAGAAGGTGAACGGAAGCGTAAAAGCAGCCGAACCCTCCTAAATTTGGGAACGGATTTCTCAAAAAGGACACATTTTTATGTTGTTTTTTTCTTTGAAGTACCTGGATGTGCTCGAGGGCTCTAAATTTTATATGCCGCCTTTAAATAAAAACTGAATCAATGTGAAAAAAAAACAAAAAAAACAGTCGGGCTGTTTTCACTTTGAGACATGCTCCTCGGAATCCGTTGATTTTCGATGATCTAAAACAGCGGCCACGTATCATAAAATTATCTTCGCTTTTGCACCGCCAGCCTTGCGCCTGCTGCAGGAGTGGAAACTTTGGCGCACCAGCGCGTTTCCCATGTGCCGCGATTCTTTCTGAAATATTCTGATTTATAGTTTTTTGATTACGCTCAGCAAGTTTCTACATTGAACATATTTATGTTCACTAGTGAAAAATGAATAGAATAAAGTTAGTTAGTTATTCAACTTATCGTTACGATTAACCACATATATAATGCCCCCCCTTTCCGTATGTAACTTACGCGGTTCTACAAAGCCTTAACTTATTTTGAAAAGCGATGTGAAAAACCTGGAGTAAACCCTGTATTACACGATACAAATGTAATATATTTAATATCGTAGTACGTCCGAATGTGGTGTTAATGCCATAGAAGCGATACGTCTAGACGCAACCGATGTATACGAGTTAATAGTACTAATAGAGCAGTGTCGAAAGCGAAAGTAACTGGGCCTTTTCTGTTTAAGATTGGTTCAGCAATGATAGAACAAGTATACAGAAACAGGAGGAGCACCAAGTTTGTGCCTTTTTGATGTCGTGAATGGTTCCATCAGCTCGTAACGTCGCCGGAACTTAAAGGTGAAACGAAGTATAGGCGATATTGCCACTGGCGTGGCGGAGTTGGCAACGTCCGACAGACAGTCGGTGACAGTTTTAATACCGAAAAAAAAAAAAAAAGATGAAAGTATGCGATCGGCTGGTGACTATAGGCCTATTCGGTGACAGACGGTGGATTATAAAAGTATCGCAAAAATACTCACTAAGCGTCTCGAGTGTGCTGCGAACAATTGTCGGAGAATATCAGGCATATGGATTTAAAGTACGGACGATTGACCCCACAGATGTATACGTTACCTAAATACCGTTAGCGTTACTCGCTCAAAAAGTAACTAAATACGTTACTCCTTACCAATTCTGAAAAGGAACGCGTGAGTTACCTAAAAAGTAACGAGCTACTTTTCACGTTACTTTGACGATCAAACGCAACTGTTATTGTTTCATGTTATATGATTTTCTTTTTAGTAGTCGTCGCACTTAAGCATTAGCTGCCTCACGAAGCTTTCATCGGTTATGTTTCCCCGCTTCATTGAAAATACATTTCCGGCGACGCTGAAGAGTCGTTCTACTGACGCGCTCGAAGGAATGGCAGTGTTGCGCTTGAGGAAGAGCTGGGGAATCTGGGATTCCCTTCTCCCTCTTTTGTTCTCTATGCTTCTAAAGTTCGAAGGTGACAAGGGGTTCTGTCCCTTCCTGTGTTGGCAACCTCCGGGCTAACATTCGGTTCGTTCCCGGTTCTGGAATGTTCAACCAGCGAACCTTGTTGTGTACGCTGGGTAATGGACATTTCCAGCTGTATAGAGTTCAGTACAGCAACGTTTATCGCTCGACATGTCAGTCGAACTGTTCGACTGACGTGTTCAGCGATAAACGTTGCTGTAGTGTCATTTTTTTTCGGGTTGCCCACCTACCGTTCTCGCAAGAGACGCATACTCAAATTAGAATAAAAACAAGGCTGTTTAACGTTGCTCCTCAAAAGTAACGAAATACCGTTACTCCTTACTTGGTCTTAAAAGTAACAAACTACGTTACTCGTTCTTTGTCTATACAAGTAACTAAATATGCAACTTATTACCGAAAGAGTAACTAGGTAGAATTAACTCGTTACTTGTAACGCGTTACGTACATATGTCGGATTGGCTCTTATCTACGTAATATGCGAATGATACCTGAAGCGGCGAACGCGATGCAAACACCGATAGCTCTAACGCAGGTCGACATAAAGAGAGCGTTCGACGATGCCTAGTTTATTTTTGCGGTAAAAAAGACCGTGTAAATTTTCTTTTGTGACGCCCTGTACATAATGGAACGCTAGGACACCGCTTCACGTCACCATTAAATGGTCGCGTCTCGCGGACGCTATCGGAAGCGCTCCTTTTGTGGTCGCGTCTCTTGAACGCTACAGCTCCCCCTGGCCGAAAGAAATAGACCTATAGCCACGGAGAAGGGGAGCGAAATCGCTCCTCAGCGGCACAGATCCTGAAGTAGTTGCCCGGCTATTGGCGGTTGAGCGTAGGAAGACCGAACAGAAGAAGGCTAAACGTGCTGTGGAGACTTCGGAGCAAAGGGAGGAACGTCTAGCAAAGCGGCGTCGCCAGGAGGCTGAGCGACGTGCCCGACCATCCCAGCAGCAGCAACATCAAGACGCCGTCGAGGACGTCAAGGCTCGCCGATTGACTGCCTATTCGCGTCTGCAGCCCGACGCTCGCCCTCCCGCGGTGGAAGCGGGAAGCGCTCTAGTGAGGGTCCCCCGATTCTCCTGCTCAGCGGGCACGGCTGACCTGCTCGCGATCATGGCTTGCGAAATGCCATTTCCGAATGCAAACACTCTTCACTGTTCCAACGAAGTGCTGCAGCCGGTATGGGAGTTTTAGTATTGCGCATAGAAGCAAACGCAAGCGGTGTGCGTTTACGGTAGAGTTGCGTGCCCCACGTTGTGCGTGCGCCTCATTGTCATGCGCCATTCAAGATCTCAATATACCTCCCTACCGAAAAATCCGGTATAACTTTTCACTATCCGGATTATGGAACCGGAAATTTGTTACTGGAAACTGGAAACCCGAAATCTAGATTGCAGACAAAGGAATAATTTCTGAAAACGTAAATTCCAGATAGAGTCCAGATAGAATCCAGATAGATTTCCTGTTCCATATTCCGGATAGTGAAAAGTTACACCGGATTTTTCGGTAGGGCTTATTCAGATTCGCGCGCCATCTATCGGACGTGGCGCCAACCTTCCTTCCGACGCCATCTTTGAGGCGACTGGCAAAGCGCTGTGGCCGTCTGCGGCGCGCGAAACCGACGCGCAGCGACCGCACGACTGCTGCGTTCCGCTACCGTATTCAACGAGGAAATAAAATGTAAAACAACCGATGTAAAGATTCGAATCGTATTGTTTTTTTTTTTTTTTTCAAGTTAGAACTATTATAGCCAACGTTTTAATAGCCGTAGCGCTTTCCTGCACTATTCATGCTCCTAAAAAGAGCTCATGATATTTGCATGTAACAACAGGGAGCATCTATTATTTTATGCGATTTTCGGGAGCTCGATGTTGGCTAGCATCGTAGATTCGCTCGCGCAAGGGAACGGCGATGTCCAGTCAACATCACTCAGATACACTGGTTTTGAGATATTTTTTTTTTCTTTTTCTCACTCAAGTAGGTCTCT